GGTAGCCTAGTGGTTAAAGCGTTCGCTCGTCACGCCGAAGACCCGGTTTCGATTCCCGACATGGGCACAATGTGTGAAGCCCATTTCTGGTGTCCCCCGCCGTGATATTGCTGGAATATTGCTAAAAGCGGCGTAAAACCATACTCACTCACTCACTCATTATATCATGGGTCGGTAGGGTAGCCTAGCGTTCACTCGAAACGCCGAAGACCTGGGTTTGATTCCCGACATGGGTACAATGTGTGTAGGCCATTTCTGGTGTCCCCCGCCGTCATCTTGCTGGAATATTGCTCAAAGTAGCATAAAACAATACTCACTCACTCCTAAAATCACATGACCGTCTCATTGTTTGTTGTTTAACGTCACACTCAGCAATATTCCAGCTATATGACGGCCGTCTGTAAATAATCCAGTCTGGACCAGACAGTCCAGTGATTGATATCATGAGCATCAATCTACGCAATTGGGATACGATGACATGAATCAACCAAGTCAGCGAGTCTGGCCCCCCGATCCTGTTAGTCGCCTCTTACGACAAGCATAGCCGCCTGTTACGGCAAGCATGGGTTGCTGAAGACCTATTCTACCCCGGATCTTCATGGGTCGCGTCTGATTGTTCTCATGTGGAATATGCAATATATATATATAGCAGTATCCTGCTCAGACTAAAAAACAAGATTCCCTTTCAAATAATATGATGTTGTTAAACATGGCACCTGTTAATTCTAAAAAACTTTCCTCCAGGGACACATTATGTGTTTGTGAAACTATTTTTCCCCCATGCAGACAAATTCTGAATTAATCAACCATGAAAACAAAAACAAAACTATTTCATGAAAAAGATCATCAAATATTCATGGAGCATCAAGAACAAGGTCTTGTTTCCCAGGCTTCATTAAAAAAGCCTTGATCCTAAACAATAAAGTACATAGCAAAAAACGAAAGCCTTGTGTCCAAACTCTTGTCACAAACCAAGCAAGTCTTCGTCTTGAACATGTATGTATGTTGCCTACATGGGCCTAAGATGAATGGACGAGGAATATGCAGGCAATAGCCTGCTGGGAATATTGATCTGTACTGATCGAAGATTGTAGGCGATTTTATCACTGTATTGTTTTCACCAGGTCTGTATCAGATATGAATTACTATCAATGAAACATCAGCTATCAATCTATACGTTTTCTGTCGTCGTTCAGGAGGAACCCATTCCATGTCTTGTTTTTCAGTTTTCACAGGAGATAAAAATGTGCTGACAGGATTAATGGAACGATTGATTATACAGAAGAGAAATGAAACTAAACTTGTAAGAATTCAAGGTATAATTTTTGTAATACCTGTTTATAATAGACTGCTTGATCTATTTTCATAAAGTGTTCAAAAATTTGAAAAAGAAATGAAGAATGAAGAATTTGAAGAATGAAATGACATCAATTTTTCTTCTTTTTGAAAAATTTAGAGTAGGTGCTGTAAATCATGATTGGCCTCTCCAATAAAATTAAATAGAACACTGTGATGTGGTTCAAAATTTCCGAGTTTTGGGAATTGTATTTTAGAGAAATGGATGAGAAATACTTACTAAAGATGCATTTATGGTGTTTTTTGTAGTATTTTTAAACTTTTATTGGTTTGAGGAAAAGTACAGTGATTGGCTAGTGAAGTGGATAATGACAGTATTCCAGACATGTCATAGCGTGTCAGGGGGCGGTCAGGTAGCCTAGTGGTTAAAGCGTTCGCTCGTCACGCAGAAGACCTGGTTCGGGTTCTATTCCCGACATAGGTACAATGTGTGAAGCCCATTTCTGGTGTCCCCTGCCGTGATATTGCCGGAATATTGCTAAAAGCGGCGTAAAACCATACTCACTCACTCACTCATAGCGTGTCAGGTTAATGTGGGAGGAAAATCTGAAGTGATGCAGGTCTCAGACGTTTACACAACTTAGAAACATAATCACAAGAAACCAGGATTAGAACTCACAAGGCTTCTGGCTTGCCCATGGCTTGCCCAACTCTGAGATACCATGCCGTTGTTTAACATGGATACCCCACTCAGACACAGTATACTGACTCCGAGCCGACCAGTCCTTGTTTTAGCCCCATGGCTTGCCCAACTCTGAGATACCATGCTGTTGTTTAACATGAATACCCCACTCAGACACAGTATACTGACTCCAAGCCGACCAGTCCTTGTTTTAGCCCCTTAATGATGAGTGCCAGGCAGGGTAACAACAAGTACCATCTTAAACACCTTTTGGTATGATGCAGCCCAAAATCAAACCATCGGCCTTCTGCGTTCGGGGCAGATGCTGTATCCACGTCACCATGGAGGCGGTCCAGACTAAGTTTAAATAATTTTACAAGCATTAACTATAATGGAGTGTAATGTGTAACAAAAAAATCAATGAAGTTAAAATTGGAGGATGTTCTTGTTAAGAAGCCTCACAATTTATAAACATCCTTGACTTAAATTTGTGAATGAAAGCAATTCAATAATTTTATGAGAGTTTTATTAGAGGTTTCATGAGGCTGAGTCAACAACCAGAGAACTTGTTGAAAGAACTTTGTATTTCATACTTATTGAACATTGTATGAAATTTTGACTGAGCTATTTTGGAATATCAATACGAAATCAATGGTGTCCATACGTTTCACCAATCTTTCTCAGAAGCCCAAATTGGGCCTTCATATTTCAATATGGTCATTAATCGGAGACTTGTGGCTTCGAATTTTCCTGCATAAACCTTTGGACTTTCTAAAGAATGAAGTCGATTTCTGTTGGATGTGATTACAAGAAGTCCTAACTGGAGGGGCGATATTGGTCGTATTGCTTGGCGGTATTGGTCCAGGGGTGGATATTGGAACATGTAGGGCTCCATACAAACTGCAGGAAGTCTTTAAGTAAGGAGGAATGCCTCAATTACAAGATACTGGAGGGACTGCATCAAAGGATGGGAATGACAGTAACTGGACTTAAATTAGTTATTTCAAAACAGTTTGGTAAAGGTTAAGATGAGAGAGATTGTGTGTGTTAATCAGGTCCCAGTTGAATGTATAAATGATAAGGAGCAGGAGGGAGTTCTCTGTCAACACAATCTGTCCGGGCTGTGTTGTGCCATGTCTTCGTTGTGTACAGGGTTGTGATGTCTTTGGTTGTGATGAATGAGAGTTGTGCTGCTTTAGAAGGAATGATAAGGAAAAGTTAGGTTGAGCACTGTCGGTGCGAATTTTGCCTATCAGACAAAGAAAATGCTATTTGCATCTATGAATTACATACCATGGTTAATGTGACCGTGGGATTAGATGGAATATTGTAGATGCGTTAACCAATATTATCACATCCCAATTGCATAGATTGATGCTCATGATGTCAATCACTGGATTGTCTGGTCCAGACTCGATTGTTTACCGACTGCCGTCATACAGCTGGAAAATTGCTGAGTGTGGCATTAAAAAACAAACAAACAAAAACTTGCCTTATTGAATGATTTTTACCAGGGAATATGGTTCATTAATACTACTTTGAGGTGATCAGATAGTTAAGTTTACTAATTAGTTAGTTTAAGTTGTGGGGGCATGGGTGTCCCAGTCGTCTAAGGCGCCGCGATTCGCTGTGCAGAGTTGTGTCCCTTGGGCACGGCAGAAACCTATGATTGTAGGTTTGAATCCCGGTTCGCCCCGAAGTGGTAAACGTCTGAGACCTGCATCACTTCGGGCTTTCCTCCCACATTAAGCTGACACGCTGTGACGTAACTTGAATATTGTTAAAAGCGGCGTTAAACCCAACTCACTCACTCACTCTTCTAAGCTGTGTCAGATGTGTAAACTTTTGTGATGGATTATAGTGTGTTGGGTTCCATGCGGGTGTGATATCATTGGTATCACATAGCACCACCTGTCATAGCACCTGGAAGTCCTGCCTCTGTCTCTAAGAAGCATATCCATCACACAAACACCAGCTGAGTCACCAGACACATGAGCCCTTGCATGTCAGACATGTATATATACTCCACAACAAAAGTTCCTGTGACACCAATATTTAAGTGTTTTTTTCAAACAAGTAAAGACAGATATCCCACAGGACTTTGTGCGACGCCTGGTCCATTCCATGAGACGAAGATGTGTTGCTTGAATCGCACACACGCTATTGATTTGTAAATTGACATTTTGGCATGTTCATGTTTTTTTATTAAATCACTCATTTTCTGAAGTCAGTATGGCAAATTAAACCATTTGAACACTTACAGGAGTCTTTTAACCGTTGCAACTGAAATTGTTTCCGATTTGGTAAAAAACATAACTTTGCATTAAATCTTATTCAATGTCACAGGAACTTTCGTTGTTAGGTATACATTCTTAAGGCATCAAACAGTACTGAAAAGATTGGTTAGGCTTTGATAAATGTGACTACAAATTATTCAAGAATAACTCAGCTCCTAGCATTGTAGTGAGAGATTGATGAAGTAAAACCAAGCTGTATGGCGATGCTAATATTATTGCCAATCCCAGCCAATAAGTTTGTTGTCATTCCTGCATAGAAGTAAGACAAGCCGGGAGATAAAGTGATCGGCTAATGTGGGAGTGATACAGGTATTTATGTACCACATATAAAGCATGGATGTTTCTGGCTGATAGTATCGTACAGAGAGCTGGTCAATAATCAATGACTTTGAGGATGCTATCTGTCGCTTGAAGAGAGCTTTTCCAAGTGAAGGGAGAAATGTTTGACAGTGTCACAGTTATAGAATTTAATTGCCGACTTCCCGCCTGCCATAATGAGTCAATTATGTTTCATAGGTCGCCATCGGTTTATTGCACACAATTTTGGGTAGGAATTACTGGACAGCTTGACCTGCTTTTGAATGAGTCAAATAAACATTATGAACTTTGCATGTGTAGGATTTAATTGAGCTACTGTGTAGATGCTATGTGACAGTGCTTCGCGGTGGTTAGAGGAATAACAAGCAGAACTGTTGAACCAGTATACAGCGCGGAGCCGGTGCCACTGTGAGAGACAGGTAGTTATACAGCGTATTGCACAGGGCGAAGTGTTCAGCGCCAGTCCTTCCTTCACTCCTCGGTGAAGCTTCAGCCTTAGGTGTCAGTTGAGGATACCATGGCCAAGTGATGATGTGATTTCCGTTGAGCAGCGCCAGGGAGTTTTTACTAATTATTATGGTTGTATCGAAATTGGAGTACCGTATGTGTGTGGCAGATTGGCAGAAGTTTATAACTGTGATGGATACCGCGTCTTTGATGGATTTCCGTCGCCCCCCGGCCCCCTGCACGTGTTCAGAGACGCTCCACACCTGTCTTGGGTAGGTGAAGAATAGTGCTGGTGTTAGCATTGCACATTGTAGAACACTTGTCATCCCTATGAAGTTGTCACTTACAACATTGTACTGTCACTTACTACAGTGAATTGTCACTTGTACTACATTGTATTGTCATTTACTACATTGTATTGTCACTTGTACTACATTGTATTGTCACTTGTACTACATTGTATTGTCACTTGTACTACATTGTATTGTCAGCTGCAGTTGCTGTCATGGTGTGGGATTAAGTGATCATATAGAATGGTTCGAAGTCATTATTACACTGTTTTGATCATCAAAATTTGTATATATATTTATTGTTGTGTTTGTTGTTTAACAACGCACTCAGCAATATTCCAGGTATATGACGGCGGTCTGTATATAATCGAGTCTGGACCAGACAATCCAGTGATTGACATCATGAGCATCAATCCACGCAATTCAAATACAATGACATGCATCAACCAAGTCAGCGAGCCTGATCCCGTTAGTCACCTCTTACGACAAGCCTAGTCGGCTTTTACGGCAAGCATGGGTTGCTCAAGATCTGTTCTAACCGGATCTTCACGGATCCGCAGCTATATGATGGTGGTCTGTAAATAATTGAGTCAGTTGGTGTTATTTAGTACAATATTAGTGTGCGATGTAAATTAATTCATATATACATATAATAGAGGCAGACGAACATGGCAAAATTATTCATTTGAAAAATGAATTAATGAATTTAGTTTAACACATTGATTGTCACAAAACATAACTGCTTTATTTAATTAATATTTGAGTTGTTTTTCATTTCTGAGAGGATACATATTTCATGACGCTATTTGATATTCATGAAATTCAATCTGCTTCTGTCTAATGGAGCTTGATGTTATATAAATATTTATTGTTAATTGACATAAATATTTTTAAGTACCGTCAGCAGGAATAGGTTTTGCCTTTAATTCCCAGAATATTAGGGATATAGTTGTGTATGTGTTTCTCTTACATTCTCTTGTCACAGTGAAGCCCTGTGTTCAATTCCCGACATTGGCACCGTCTCTGGTGCCCCTGCTGTGATAGTGCTGGAATATTGATAATTGAGTGAGTGAGTTGGGTTTAATGCCGCTTTTAACATTATTCCAGTTATATCACAGCGTGTCAGCTTAATGTGGGAGGAACCAATCGGTGAAACCCACGAGCACGGGTATGGTGCTGACAAACCTAGAAACATAATTGGGGCGAACCGGGATTCGAACCCACAATCATAGGTTTCTTGCATGCCCAAGGGACGCAACTCTGCACAGCGAATCGCGGCGCCTTAGACGACTGGGCCACCCCGTGACCCCAGAATATTGGTAAAAGAGAGGTATGAAACCCCACTCACTCACTCACTCACTCACTCACTCACTCACTCACTCACTCACTCACTCACTCACTCACTCACCTATTACATCATTTCAATCTGAAACAAAAGTTAATAAGTTTACGTTCCGAAAAGTTTGAATCATCTATTAATAGACTGGGAAATCCCAAAGAAGATTCTGCGATTGAGTAACATAACGCTGTGTGTTGTATTATTGTCAGTGTTCATAGAGGATGTACATTGTAGGGTTTAGTTTTCTCAAACTAGGACAGTAACTAAAATGTTTTTTTCATTGGATTTTTTTTCTGTTCAGAGACTAAATCTCTCAAATGACGTGGTTTTAATTGGTTTGTAAGATACAGTTTACGTGTACATGAAACCATATTGGCTATCCAATAACCCGTGTAGTTTGTTGGTTTGAATCTCGATTCAAACTGGTGATGATAAACAATGTGTAAACTGAAATGGTTTCGGAATAGATGTTAGAGCTTGAAAATATGAGAAAATGCAACATTGAAGCAATGGAACTGTATCCCTTGCAGAGGAAAGAGTTCAGTTCCCTTTTGGAAAGATGGCGTGACGTGGATGATCACTTGATGGAGGATACAGTTTACTCAAGGAACCCTTGCTTGCCGTGAAAGGCGACTATGCTTGTGGTAAGAGGCGACTAATAGGATCGGATGGTCAGGCTCGCTGACTTGGTTGATGCATGTCATCGTATCCCAATTGCGTGGATTGATGCACATGATGTCAGTCACTGGATAATCTGGTCCAGACTCGATTATTTACAGACCGCCGTCATTTACTGCATGGTACAAGTATAATGGGCTGCATCATTTTTTCTGTATGGGATTACAATTGTCATTACCTACTGCCTCTTTGGTCTGGTTGTAGAGCATCATACCAAAAGATGGTACTTGTTGTTAATCTACCTGGTACTCGGCATTAAGGGGCTAAAACAAGGACTGGTCGGCTCGAAGTTTGTATACTGTGTCTGAGTGTGGTATTCATGTTAAACTGCCGCATGGTATCTCAATGGGCTAACACTATTAGATAGGCATTTGTCCGGACATGTTCAAGCAGCCACACACGCATGCTATATAAGTGATTAAACCCACCTCACCACTATGTTTTTCGAGACTCATACACGTATTGAGGGAAGCCACTGTATATATCTGACATCACCAGCAGAAGGCCGTATATCCAGGATTTGTAGGTAATGAGCTGTTGTACGGAGAGTAGCATCTGTACCCAGAACATAGCGATGGAGATCAAACGCCAATACTGTATGTATATATGAATAAGCTACAGGGCCCTTTGGCATTTCTCTGTGTCAACTCTGGCATCAAAGACTCTTTGTCAGCTGGACATAAATTGTTATATTCAATATTTATGGATGGAATAATATATTTGTTGGCAAAAAGCTGGGACAAATTATGTTTTTTTTATCGGTTTAATACGAGTAGGCATTATGTGAAAATAGAACTGGTAGAATGCATTTGTATTTATCATCCCAAGCTGGCTCCCATGGGAGCTATCAAGCATATCTACATTGTAAAGAAATTGCATCAGAATGCTTTGCAGACCATTGTGACGTCACTGGTTACCATGACATAACAATCAAATGACATCACTAATGGCTCTGCTACTGAAGCTGTTAGCAGTACTTTTAACACTTAAGACACTGCTTATTACTGTCTACAAACTGAAAAAGTTGGAAGATTGATGTTGGATGATAAATAAAATCTCACCCTTGTGTCTTTTAATATCAAATATATCAACACTTGTTGATATATTTGATATCAATAGACACTCGGGTGAGATTCTATATATCTAAATATCCCCTTGCGAGGAAACTTGAAAGGATACATCAAACGATACAAAGGGATTCATATGGTACATGTTTAATGTCTTAATATGTATATTTTGATATGTTGTCTCCGTGATACACAATTTGGTACACTGTCCTAAATGTATATAATTATATCCTTCGTGTAAATCCCAAGCTATTTAAAAAAGTGGTGAAATCTAGCAATTCTTTCTGTTTCCGCCTCTGACTGAACACGTTACGAAGTAAATGTATTTTAATGCACCTGTATGCGTTTCCATGGAAACAGATATTAACATGAGAAAAGAAAGTTGATAACCAGGTAATTATCCATCATGTCCATGGCCTTCTAAATGTCACTCAGCTCCTCAGGTCCTGGTAATTAATGTCTGGTTGTTATGATAGACTCTGTTTAGTTCAACACGAAGGTTCCAGGACTTAATGATTATCATGGTGAGTGCCCGTGTCAGGTAACATTTTGTATTGGGCAAGTTTGTTCATAAACGCACCTTGACCATGATACTGTGGTTTGTGCATCTGGTAAAGAACAGCAATATTGTTTGAAAGGAAAATGGGGGAAAATTATTATTTTGTACGATGTACCTTGACCATGATACTGTGGTTTGTGCATCTGGTAAAAGAACAGCAATATTGTTTGAAAGGAAAATGGGAAAAAAATATTATTTTGTACGATGTACCTTGACCATGATACTGTGGTTTGTGCATCTGGTAAAAGAACAGCAATATTGTTTGAAAGGAAAATGGGGGAAAATTATGATTTTGTACCATGTACCTTGACCATGATACTGTGGTTTGTGCATCTGGTAAAAGAACAGCAATATTGTTTGAAAGGAAAATGGGGAAACATTATTATTTTGTACGATGTACCTTGACCATGATACTGTGGTTTGTGCATCTGGTAAAAGAACAGCAATATTGTTTGAAAGGAAAATGGGGGAAAATTATGATTTTGTACCATGTACCTTGACCATGATACTGTGGTTTGTGCATCTGGTAAAAGAACAGCAATATTGTTTGAAAGGAAAATGGGGAAACATTATTATTTTGTACGATGTACCTTGACCATGATACTGTGATTTGTGCATCTGGTAAAAGAACAGCAGTATTGTTTGAAAGGAAAATGGGGGAAAATTATTATTTTGTACGATGTACCTTGACCATGATACTGTGATTTGTGCATCTGGTAAAAGAACAGCAATATTGTTTGAAAGGAAAATGGGAAAAAAATATTATTTTGTACGATGTACCTTGACCATGATACTGTGGTTTGTGCATCTGGTAAAAGAACAGCAATATTGTTTGAAAGGAAAATGGGGGAAAATTATTATTTTGTACCATGTACCTTGACCATGATACTGTGGTTTGTGCATCTGGTAAAAGAACAGCAATATTGTTTGAAAGGAAAATGGGGGAAAAATATTATTTTGTACCATGTACCTTGACCAAGATACTGTGGTTTGTGCATCTGGTAAAAGAAGGGCAATATTGTTTGAAAGGAAAATGGGGGAAAATTATTATTTTGTACGATGTACCTTGACCATGATACTGTGGTTTGTGCATCTGGTAAAAGAAGGGCAATATTGTTTGAAAGGAAAATGGGGGAAAATTATTATTTTGTACCATGTACCTTGACCATAATACTGTGGTTTGTGCATCTGGTAAAAGAACGGCAATATTGTTTGAAAGGAAAATGGGGGAAAATTATGATTTTGTACCATGTACCTTGACCATGATACTGTGGTTTGTGCATCTGGTAAAAGAAGGGCAATATTGTTTGAAAGGAAAATGGGGGAACAATATTATTTT